AGAGAAAGAGAGAGAGAGAGAGAGAGAGAAAGAGGGAGAGAGAGGGAGGGAGAGAGAGAGAGAGAGAGAGAGAAAGAGATAAGGGCAACACTACGACGGCCAAAGCATGGTGTTGCTTGGTCGTGACTTGGGGTCCAGCCGGCGCCGACTCAGCAAAGCAGACGCTCAAATATATTTGTTTTGAAGGCGAACAAATGCAGCCAAGAGTCCGAGAATGTTTCATGTTGAGCTTCTTGTCTTCATCTAGATTGAGAAAGAAGAAAACGTCAAAGGGTTCTGGAAATGATCTTTGCCAGTCAGGCGAAGAGGGCTCTCTAATGTTGGATTTTTCACCTGATCGCTTCTTTGTTGATCGAGAAATAAACTGTTTTAAAAGGTCTGCGCAAGAAACAAACTTCTTTTGACTTTAAGAAAGGCATGATGTTATGGACTACACTATTTCATTGCATGAAAGTTTATCTATGTATTTTCTATATGCATTGTGAGAGCTCATAAGAAAGATGATTAAAATATGGTGCTCATACGTGCATATGTAACATCTTATATGAAGTCACAAACATTCGCATTCTGTGCGAAACAGAATGCTGGTTCCTACTTGGGATTGGCACTGATGACAAGCTCGACTTGTCTGGATCTTTCGAAGTGAGTGGCGTAAGACAGTCACCTCGACTGGATACGTTTCACGAAAATCGAAATTCAAGCTTTTCGAAGTTCAGGCTCCGTACATCCAAGATCATTTAATGTTCAGGATGAGGTTCAACCTCAGTACCACTTTGATATTAAAAATCGGGAGATTAAGACTCAATAAGTATAACCTCTAGGGGCCCTTGAGGTGTTTTGCATTTAGCTAGAAACCACTAAACTCGTTTTAATTCCATTCGGAACCCTCAGGTGTTTGCATGCAACTAGAAACCACTAACGCATTTTAATCCGGTTGCGAATTTGTGTTTCATGTTGTGAACAGTGTTCTCTTACACTTTAGCATTGACATAATGTGACTTGTAGAGAACGGAGAAAAAGTTGCAGGTTGGCAAGAGAAGTTATTTTTCTCCAACTTACACCAACCTATTACTTCTTAGAAGCTAATACCAAGTGACGAGTCCGCTTCCTTGTGCAAGTCAAATGTGATGATAATTCCGGGTCAAAAGTTAATTAAGTGCCGCAAAACATCATTATCGGTTGCACTTTGTCTTGAGCTCTACCCCTAGTAGATGTGCATCAGTAGCTGCTCAAAAATGACGGTAGTACCATCTCTCAGCAAAATTACCGTTTTGTAATATCTGAGAGTGGCTAGCTATCCTCAGACACTGCTCAAGCTTCGACAATTTCTAACCGTATAATGACGCACTGGATTCGGCATGTCTATGCTCATACTTGTAAATATAAAACATTGAGAATCGGATGCGGCCACGTACATCTGAAACTTGCGGACAATTTCATGAGCTTACAATAGGCTCTTCACCAATATTGAAAAGTCTGTGTTTGATACGAATATGATTCTACATTTAGGTTGCTTCATAGTAAAGCATGGTTCGTGGGAGAGACCCGCAGCGATAAAGGCCATCGTATGAAAGCAAGTCTCTTATTAAAAATACAATTAGAAGTCTGAGGTTGTCCTGAGAACTCCTTGTTCAAGTATGCCGGCGTAATAGAATAGCCCATCAATGATATTCTTAGAATAAAATATGGCCATTATGCGCGGCAGAAGAGGCGGCCTTTAAGCCTGTGAAGAAAAGCTTCGTAAAATACCGTGTTTCTGGCTCTTCGATATCCAAGTAAGCCATTCTATGTTGTCTGCGACAGTTTAGCCTGTTCCATATACTTTGTTTCATTACAAGCAGATGCCGATTGACATAAATGAGTCATCGTTTAAAGAACTTGCCAGCTTATGCCGCTCAGAAGCTATCCGGTTCGTGACAAGAAGCTACTTGCAATATCGTATGTTTGTATCAAGTGGGAATATCGCCTCGGTTATAATCTAGTTGTATTCTAAACAGGCATGCATAAATGTGAATAACGACGTAGTCACTACATCTCTCGCAGAGAATGACCAGATAGCTACAAATTGGTTGCTCGCGCTTCGCATTCATATTTGCATAAAGACGCCAGCTCTTTAGACTGCATCTGGCAAACGCACAAACTTATGATAACAATGTAATTATCAAAAGCTGCGCAGGGAGGGAAAATCGGATGTAAACGCCTCCATCACACACTTGCAGGGAGATCCCGAGTATTCTATGTGTCAGCAGAGGTCCTTTTTGCAACGATACAGGCCAGCGCTGATTTAAAGATGTGCAAAAATTCTTCAGCACATCTCCGTTTTATGTTTTGCTGAAGCTGTCATGATACGGTAGCATGAACGACTTGATCATTTCTTGGCTGCATTAGTTGAAAACGGACGTGTTGGAGCATACTGACTGATTACCCTGACCCCATTCAAAAACTTTCATGTAGCCGGTTGACGCTCAGTGTTAAGTGCCGAGTGCTTCAATGCATGCGTCGTGGCATCACTCAATAAATACACGGTATTGAATGGAACCACCGTCACAATTGCAGTATCGAAATCAACCTTACATCGACAGAATGCACCTGCTTGGGTTCTACCGTTGCTGTGCTTGCCATATCTTTGCGCCATATATCATCATATCTTATTTCAATATAGCACTTGCCGAACTTCTGCGACAGGATAAGGATCTCAGCTGCTCGTGTTACCATATAATGTCACAAAAGCGTGGTAAACTCTCATTACCTTTCATAAGACTCAGAGCAAGTAAACCTGGATCACCGCTTCCACGGCGGTTGTTTGTTGGTCTTGTAGAAAGCAGTAGCTTCAGGTGCTCACCAGCTGATAAGGGGCGTGGGCCACTCCGTCAAACAACCTAAGCACGACATGATGCTTTGATCTGCAGAGCATTTATCTCGTTTATTGTATCGTTCGGTGCTTCCATGTAGACGACGCCAATCTTTTTCGTATCGCTCACATGAATAGATGAAACTATCCAATAAGTTCATTTCACAGTCAAGATAAGGTCATAAAAGCTGCTTTTTAGAGAGGGCCGACATTTTTGCACGCAAATAATATGTTACGCAAGAACTCGAATCAGGTATGAACACCGTAATAAAGGATCAATCGAGCAGGTAAGACTCAGGATTTGCCAATATATTTCAGTCATTAACGCTAGTTCAAGTAAATGCGCTCGAGGCCTGAGAAGTGACCTAATTTTTCACTAACTTAAGCTTTTTTTCATTTCTCGACATCAGCAGTTCATGATAATCGACGTAATCAGCCAATCCTACGAATCATAAACGATGTCATGATTAAATTGACAGAGACTTTACCGCGCATATTAAATTGATAGAAAACCTCCATTTTATTTGATAAAATTTTCTTTGATAAAGACAAAAAGTAAGCAAAAGAAATCATATTCAGAAAAAGCAAAAATGAGCAATCATTTCCTCCGACTACTCATATCTGGTGCGCTTCTAGATCGACAATTTTGATTATGTTAGTTGTGGGTGCGCTGAAGGCAATATTGATTACCTAGCAAAGAATCTCTCCAAAATGGCTTTATCAAAGCAAGAGAAGCGTAGCGCACTGTTTTTTAATACTCTGGGAATCTTAGAATACGAAACATTTGTTTAAAGAAGGGCATCATATTTTCTGGCTTGTACGATTTGATCCACGTGAGGTCTTGCATTCACGGCTAGAACGTTTGATGAATATTAGTGCTTTTTGCGGTAGGACTTCATTATACCACATTCTCGCTCCGGATGGTGCGATCAATGTATGCTCGCTGGCAACAGTGAATTTTATTTGTGACAACTTTGTCCTGGGACGAGTACCACAGAATTGTCCGCATCGCGGATATAGTAGTGCCTCCTACTTTAGCGCGAATCGAGCGCGATACCTATTCATGGGGAATATTTGAGATACCAAGAAGCGAGCTCGGAGGGCCTTTCGTTGGTCAAGATCAGCTTGTGTAGTAGCCGGGGGCCCTACCACGTAGACGCCCAACAATCGAGTGATCCATCGCAATCAAATGTTTTTTTTTTCACGATAGCAGAGTTTTTCCTCGAGTAGCCTAGCATTTGTTTACATGGAGCGTTATGCGTGCAAACAGCGCCTTGGTCTTTTATGTTCTTGGTTTAGCCGCTGGGAGGCTACATGGCAGCGTTTAGTACAAGTTTGCGTGAATTATTCGACTTAAAATTGCTGCAACCCAGCTCTATATCACGAGTTGACCGTAAGTATAGTAAAGCTTGCCCGAATATGGGATAATTCTCGCAACAAAGACACTCTGTGTTAAGAGCAAATAGAGCAAATTTCCGTAGCACGCATCTAACGTTACCCCAGTCTTCGCAACCCAAAGCCTCCTTCAGCATCGTGTTCGAATAATCTGTAATTCCGGTAGACGTTGCTTTATGGGTAAATTAGACATTTACATCAATCTAGAGAAATTCAAAGCGCTAAAGCATGGTGTTATGCTACTCCATCGCATCGAGTAGTCGAGAATCCGCAATAGATTGAACGTAAACTTTGCTTCTCGAATGCGCTTGAGTCGATGTTTTGCGATCGGTAATCGGTAAAAATAGATAACCACACTGCGAATCTTGTCGAGGTCCTTTTTTGGCTGATATTGGTGCCGGCGTCATGATGTGTTTGTCAATCAATACGCGTACAGCATCATGAACTTGCTAAAATGCTTGGTACTTCACCGCCTTGTTGTCGATGTCGCGCTCAGAGCCCTCGACGAGCTCTTAATGCTCCTAAATCTCAAAGATCAGGTCTTTTGTGTTAGTGATGGTCGCTCGCGAGTCAGCATTAGATCCCTGGTTGAATTTTTTCTTGACTCTTTTCTTGCTTGTCGTCGGTCGGATGCACCATCCCCCGAACCCGCATAAGCGCACCAAAGAGTACAAACTGGTATATTTATGAATCTGCAAGCTTATGCATAACTTGTGGTTTAATCTTGAGCAGTTGGCTCCTTCGTAGCGCTTTTTGCACCGTCACGAGTCAGCGTTGTATTATCAAGAATCCACTCGTCGAGGGGCTCGACCCCTTCGAGCCGATACTAGCGCTGCTATGTCAGCCGGCAAAGTGAGAGGGTCGTTGGGAGCGATAACGACTGGCAGACCCACCACGTTGTGGCTTCTTGTTACGGTGTAGCCGCACCACTGTGTGATGACACCTTTGTACGGTCATACGAAGTTGTGTGACCCCCCCCCTGAATACCAGAGTACGTGCAACCCCAGTAAATTTACCATTACAACGCTGTTTACTATAAGATGGTATTTTAGAAACTAGGTAGCAGAATATACAGGTTTTAAAACGCCAAGAAATGTAACATGCAACTACTGGCGAGAAATTGCAACTGGGAATATTGTCTTCTGCATGAGCTTTTGCTCATCCGGACTATGAGGTGCTGCTCCTCGCCTTCGGCTTCGATGAATAAACGCCTGCTCCGGTCTACGCAGACCCATTTTTATTCCAAAAGGTCTAATATGCATAGGCTTGAAGTGCATTCTCGTTTTGTCGATAAAGTCCTCAACATGCCGCATCTTATCGGCCTCGGTTGATGCCGGATTGTTGAAAGTATTATATCGTGATTTCGTGTGTTTGCCCACTGCTGCCGCTTCCTGTATCTTAGCAGCTGGTTTGTCGAAAGACAGACTATCATAATCTGGTGTACATCCTTTGGAATTTACCCCATTTCTGCTCAATCCGATTGGCGTATGGCCTACAACGCTTTAGACTTCAAAATACTGGTTTTGCTCTCACTGAGTGAGTCCTCACAGCAGTGAGAGCAAAACCAATCTGCTGGCCTTTGTTGTGGTTAAACCTGAGGAGCTAATTAATAAAGGTGTAACGCTTACTATGCAGCGGGGATACCGAGCACTTTCGCGTAGAGGAGGCTAAGCTAAGTTCGGTGACCTTCGCTCTATACTTAGAACCAGTACGAGTGTAGCGGATCGCAATCCGCCTACTCCAAGAGTAACCACAACTTAACCCAAGGCAAAGAAAGTCTTCCATTCAAAATGAACACTGTATTTCTTGGTCATATTTTTGGCAGCCGCCTATATCCAAATTTATAGATTAAAAAAATAGTACAACCTTATTAAAATGCATAACTACTGGCAGTCCAGACACTTATTGACTCTTTGTTTATGTGTAGCAACATCATTGTGTGGTCACAACATCTTGTGACACACACCCCTTACACCAGGGTACGTGTAACCCCGTTATACAATATCCATCTATTTCGAGTTTGATAGAAGTGATGCAGTAACCCTTCCAGTAGACCTTAGGGGTCGCAATTTAAACGTGTAATGGCGACGGCAAGCCGAGTCACTCTGGGACCGAAGCGAAGACAGAAGGCTTTTTCTTAAGGCTTTTCAATGCCCAAAGTGACTATGTGTTGCTACGTTACTGGTCTAAACATCGGTTGTCGTGATCATTTTCAAATAGAGGAAGTACAATCTTATTCTTATATCATGATCCGAAAATGTATTAGAGTCTATAGAACTGCTCAATAAATTAGACTAGAAACAAAACGGGTCAAAACAAAGAGATTTACCCTTAGCAAGAGTAGCACTCACTGTACTTTAACAATATCTGTAATGCTCAAAGCCTAAAATCTTAACCCTATGATGCAGCAAATCTAAAAAGTGTAAGATTTCACATTCCTGGCTCTAATCAAATGACGGTGCCGATTAATTTGGAACCGAAGTAGTCTTTAGTTGTGGAACAATTAGTTCTTAAATCTCAATAGTACAGTCTGGCTCTGTGTTTGTTGACTGTATTTTGGAATATTCCATTCTGCTGAAAAAAATGATTTGAATGAAAATTATAATCACAAGCACCAGGTATGGGATGTTATTGTACGGTTTACAATTTATAGACACCCTGATACAGTATAAAGAGTTTGTAAGTGATCGGAAGGCTTTAGCGAATACCCAGTCTAGCATTCGTATCTTGGATCGATACACCACTCCAAATAAAATACTTTTAGGGTGCTAATTCCCCATCAATGTGCAAAGCTCACTGATGAGGACAATGAAAGTCTGCTAGAGAGATCTATGGGACTCATAGACTGCTAGCCTCTCTCTATACATTGCATCAGACTCTTTCAAACTATAAGGTAAAACACATTCAGCTTTGTAAAACAAGTAGCTGGCCATAATCTAAATACATAACACTCTTGAAATGAGAGCAATCTAGGTGTCCGGTTTCAGAGGCTTTTGATTCCGATTTTGCTCTTTGCGTACCAATATATACTCTGTGCATTAATGAAAGCACACTCAATGGGTCAAGGCTTTTGTGCGAGGCGCACGTTGTGCTGAAAAAGACGAAGTGAGTATGTTAAGGTCCTTAGTTCGCTATTCCGAGTTACCTCTAAGCCTTTCCTATGGCGTTATTCTGG